CCAGACGGTAGCAAGAGACACCGAAAAGAATCCCCGACAAAAGATGATCTGGCTCTCACGCTGCACCATTTCTCCCCCGGTGAGAGTATATGTAGCGGGCCTCCTGGAACCTTTGTCAGCGCCATTTGGGTTCCGGATGGGTCAAGAAGCAAGCAGGTGTCGCCATATTCTCGACTCCTAATGGCCGGCATTGGTAAAGCAAGATCGTCGACCTCTTTGCCGCTGCGACGTATACAGCCCGCGCTATCGGATGGTGACTTAGACAACGGAAAGCTGGACGGCAGGAATACGCTGTACCAAAGCCATGCTGCTCGCGACACGTAAGCTTGGGAGAGGCCCTTAGGTCCAACTCCTCAGAACTGCGACAAGAAACAACAACGCCAAGATGCGACGGAATCTTCAATACGAGCGCGGACAGGGTGTCCTCGCATCAACCTACACATTGAGAGTGCTCACACGTGTGGCTCGCGAACTAGTCAATGGACCTATGCTCTGCAATAGCTCGCGCTATTGCATTGGCTTGCGGCTTTTGACTGGTGTGCCATGCATTGCAACCCACCCTTGGCTCGCTTCGATCGTGCCAGGTTCTGCCATGACCATTTATCTGCCAGTGGTTCCCGCGGCAGACATGAGCTTGCTGTTGTCTTGTCTTGACTGATCTTGTGCTGTTGGGCCATTTCGTTGACTCTTTTGCGCTCTACTCAAGTACATTTACAATGGTTAGAAGTAGTGAGACTAACGAATGGACTGCATAGTAAGATGTTCATTGGTGGACTGAACTGGGAGACGACCGACCGTAAGCTCAAGCCTTCTCACCCATGCGCACGCTGTACACAAGTTACTAACCATGTCGCCGCAGAGTCTCTCAGGGATTACTTTGCCCAATTCGGCGAGGTTGTCGAGTGTACCGTGATGCGCGACAGCACCACCGGCCGGTCGCGAGGCTTTGGCTTCCTCACGTTCAAGGATGCCAAGACTGTCAATATCGTTATGGTCAAGGAGCATTTCCTCGACGGCAAGATTGTACGTTTCTGCCACGGCCAACACCGCGGAACGTTGGACGTCCATTCTACAGCAACTAACACGTCACCCTAGATTGATCCGAAGCGCGCCATCCCCCGCGACGAACAGGAGAAGACGAGCAAGATCTTCGTCGGCGGTGTCAGTCAAGAGACGACCGATCAGGAGTTCAAGGATTACTTTGCTCAGTTCGGCCGCGTTGTCGATGCCACCCTCATGATGGACAAGGATACGGGCCGGCCAAGGGGCTTCGGCTTTGTCACGTTTGAGAGCGAGGAGGGCGTCGATGCCTGCCTCAAGACGCACCTGGAGATCCACGGAAAGCCGATTGAGGTCAAGAAGGCCCAGCCGCGCGGCAACCTCCGCGAGGAGGAGGAAGCTGCTCGTCGCGGTGGTGGCAAGTTCCGCAAGGGCGGAGACGACGGCGGCACCAACGGCCAGGGCGGGATGAACAACCAGATGGGCGGCGCCGGCGGCATGACACCCCAGGGCATGGCGCAGCACTTTCAGCGCATGCAGCAGTACTTCGCCATGATGCAGCAGCAGATGGCCATGCAGCGCGGCATGCCGATGAACCCGGCCATGATGCAGCAGATGATGCAGATGCAACAGATGCAACAGATGCAGAACCAGATGATGGGTGGGCGTGGCGCTGGCGGCCCCAATGTCCAGAACCCTCAAGCCATGATGAACAACATGAACCCGGCCATGATGCAGCAGATGCAGCAGATGCAACAGCAACAGCAGCAGCAGATGATGGGCGGCGGCGGCGGTGGTGGCGGCGGCAGCGATGGCGGCCAGGGCAGCCCGGCGCCGGAGCAGCAGCAGGCCCAAGGCGGCGGCGACGGGTTCAATAACAACAACAATAACAACAACAACAACTTCAACAACAGCAGCAGCAAATGTTCAACCAGCAACAGCAGCAGGGGCCGAGGGGCGGAGGCCAGAAGGCGTACGGAGGCTTCGGCATGGGCGGCGGCCGGGAGGGCCGACGTCGTGGGAGGGCATGTATGACGACGTTCCGCAGCCCAATATTCCGCAGGGACCGTCAGGCGGCCGCGGTGGAGGCTTCCACCGGGGCGGACGGGGCGGATTCCAGCATCAGCAGCAGCCTGTCGATCCCAACCACGCGCCGCCGGCGAATGCGCCGACTGGTCCCAAGAACGCTGGCAGGCCGGGCGCCAACTACCGCGGCGGTGGACGAGGCAACAACCGCGGCTTCCATCCGTACTCGCGTGGCTAGGGGCGATACTGAGTGCGGGCGTGGCCGGGGACCTGATCAGGCGGGACACGTACGGGGACGGGTTTCTTCAAGCTGCCTAGGGCAGCCGTGTACAACATTGCGAGTGCGAGAGAGGACCACAGGAAACGTTCCCACAACTCGAGGACTGAGCGGTGGAGAGGGCACTCTAAAAGGGAACATGGAAATCTGCCCACACCCAGGTGTGGAGAGGCAGCAGCTGGTACGCCAGGCGCTTGTAATTGAACCGAAAAATCAACAACACATTTGGCTCCGGACACTATTGTGCATTGGTCTCTGTCGACTAGGAGTACACGGGAAACAGGCAAAGAAGAGAGGAAGAAAAAATGAGATGTATTCGTCTTGGTATAGTGTTTTACATCTAGCATGTCCTACCCCTGCCTGGTCCCCGTCCGTCCTGGGGCCTTTCTATGCAATTGCCCCCCCCCCCCCTCCTTTGGTGCAATACGAAGTACTCTACACAGTAACGTGGTACAAGATACAAAGTGAACCTCACCTTTCGCACGATAAACACCATGTCCGGCGCCTAGAGATGCCACTCGGGAAGCGCAAAGTTGCTGGTCGTCGGCCAGTTGTCGACCCTACAAGACGTCCTCGTTAGCATGCGCTCTTTCTCTCTCTCTCTCTCTCCTGTTTCCGGCGCGGCCTGCGCTGGCGGGCGCACAGCACGACTCACCTCGTCGTCAGCAGGACCGTCATGCGCCTCCGCCTGTCGGCGGGGTCCTCGTCGGGCCGTCAGACGCAGCCAGTCGCCCAGCAGCTGGCGCAGCTCGCCGTCGCCCTTACCGAGGACGTCGACGCCGCGCTCGGCGCAGGCGATTGCGGACCTCTCTCAGGCTCGAGGGCGG